TTAAATTATCGATTAATTAAAAATATCGAATTAGTTGAAAATATAACTAACACTTATACAAACAATTTAAATTAACATTTATAAAATAGTTATTAGTATTATTAATATTAATATTAATATTAAAAACAAAATTAAAACTATTATTATAATAGTGAGGGTGGGGAAGAAAAAAAAGTGAAATTAATTGGGACTCTGAACCTTGCCATTGGAGACGACTTGGCAGGGCTAGGGGCAGGGGCAACCCCAGATCTCTGGAGCCCTGACCCTGGCCCTACCATTGGAGATGGCCTAAGGAAACTGAATAACTCCTACACTCCTATAGAAACTAAATCACCAAAAAGTAAAGAAACTAAATAACTTAAAATAAGATACCTAATTAATAAGAAATATTAATAAAAAAGATAGATTGTCTTGGATGCTCCTGCATCATTAAGACTTCTATTGTTTTATTTTTTACAATTAACATGTTTTAATTAAATTATAAGAAAAAAAACTGAAGCAAATACTCTTGTCCATTTTTTTTGTCAGTCACAAATTGAATGTAATGATTGTAATTAAAGAGTATAAGACAATGTTCTCACATTAATAACATGGGTCTTTCTAAAATAAGATTTTATGGAACATAGGTGTACATGAGATGCCAAATCTCAATTCTCAACCACTAAAAAAAGTCAACAACAAATCTGAACCACAAATTTTGGTCAAAATGTCCAATGGTGACGTTGCATCGAACATTTAGAAAAAATAAACATATGTTAAATTACATACTAACCCTTTAATTAATATGTTTAAAAATTTCTCCCTTATCTCTAATTAATTTCATCTCTTTCCCAAAAAAAAAAAATTCTCAAGTAATCAAAATTTTATACGAAAAAAATCTCTCGAGTAATCAAATTTTTATATGAATTGACAATTAAGACCATCAGTATAAGATCATTTAAAATATTTTTAGGAAAAAATGCACTTTACACCCCCCTCTCAAAGTTACATATTTTGAACTTTTCCACCTAAAAGTATAAATTAAATAAGCATGTATAAAATCAGTTGTTTTTTTTCCCTCAAATGATTTTAAGCCAATTCCGTTCACCAAAAAACATAGATATGTGTCTCACTTGTGTATTTTAAGTTTAAATTAGTTCCAACATCAATTTTTCGCCCAAATATTTTACTGACACGCATTTTTCCCTCTCTCTTTACAAATAAATTTTTTTCTACTTAACTTTAGATTTTTAGTTCACAAGACATGAGTCAAGTATTTGGACAAGTAAGAAAGGATGTGACTAATTTACCCTTTGAAAATTCATGTGAGGGGCACATGTACATTTTCCGTCAAACAAAAATTGCATAAAATCATTTGATGGGGGTAAATTGCAACTAAATTTTATTTTTCAGGGGATAAAGTGTTTATTTTGTACATATGGGTGGTAAAGTGCCAAAACATGTAACTGTGGGGGATAAGATTTTTGTCAACTTTTTAATATGGGATTCATAAACCATATGGAGAATTTTGTCAATTGTTTCAAAAAAAAAAATGGGGAGGAGGGGGTATATTCCCAATTTTTAAAGTTATCAAGGGTTATTGGTAATCTTTTAGGTAATAGGGATGTTTTTGCATTGTTTGGTGGGGTAAAATTGTCATTTCGACTTGAGAGGGGTTTTCTTTGTTAATAAAAAAAGTATAAGGTTTTGTTGCTAATAAAAATAACATAGGTATTTTTTATAGTTAGATAAAACACAAGAGGCGTTTTTAAATTCACTCATTAAAAAGGATAAATTATTTAAAGTTAAATTCTAAGAGGACATATGTCACCAAGATAAATGATATCTCATGTGCTTCCCATCCCTCAAAATCTCATTTTAGACAGAACCTAATAACATGTGTTAATGATGTAAACTAAAGCGTAAATAACTCATTAGTGTTTTTTTTTTCCTTACTGTCAAATGATTAGGTAAGTAAATTTTTATTTTTTTTAGTTGGTTTGATTCGATTGGCAGAATTGAAGTATGAACTTTCTTATAAGAATTTTGATGGAAACTTGATACTATTGTCTAATTAATTAAGATTTCGGTTGTACGTATTCCGCCAACTTCATGATCATTACTTATGAGCAAATAAAAAATAAATAAAATGTTGAATCCGCGTAGAATATTCTTGGGTCTCGATCAGGAAAGTTTCCTTCTAATTACTGCATCTATATTCTATAGTATAATTAACCTACCTTCTGTTTTTCCGTTTTGTACCAAAAAAATAAAATAATTAACCTACCTTTTAAATACGTACCTGTTATAAGTCGGAAAGTTATTGTGACTTTGATATTCTCTGTCTACTCTATGAGGAAGTCGAGTCCTTTCTATTTCGGTATGTGTCTATTTTTCCGATTTTATTTCATTCCTATACATTGAATTTTACTTTATATATATAGGTCTTGTTTTATGGGTAAAAAACATGAAATTTATACCTGTTCTGAAAAATATGCACAAAATTCCTCAGTACATAAATTCCTTTATATTTTACAAGATGGTGCACGAAATCTCTTTATTTAGAATGGGTAATTAAGTTTAGTGGCCAAGAACACTTTAAAACTTGTCTTTAATAAAAAAAAAAGGCCATGGACGCTAATATCAGCAAATAAGAATAAAAAATAAAAATAAACCATTGGGGCTCTGATTAAGAATTTGATTGTGAAACTAATTAAATTATTATAAGAATGTTAGAATACAGATATTAGAAATTCTTCCTTTATTGACATGATCAAGAAAATTTAATTTTTGTGGAAATATTGAATTCGCGTAACTGATACAAATTAAGGTACATGAGTGATCTAGAAATTCAGATATCACTTATCAACTAAGCAGCACACACCACAAAGTCGCCCATGAGTCTTTAATTTTATACAATCAATCAAGTCTTCTAAAAACTAATTGGGGTCGGATTAATTTGTTCTTTATGAGGAAAAACTGGAGGCAACTTCGCATGACTTTTCATTGGATTTTTCTATTAGGGCCCATTTGAGTCTACATTAAAACCTTTCGTAGTTATTTGGTAGAGTCAAAGTGATGGGGACAGTTTATCATGACTCTTTAGGGACAGTCTATAGCGACTCTTGCCCATTCAAGAGTCACGCCATTTTATACATATTTTTGGTATGGTGTATATGTGCAATTTATAATGTACACATCAAATTGACAAAATTACTCATTGAAAGTCTTTTTTATTTCAATTTTATCCCTCTCATTTAATTTTACATTTCTCTCTCTCTTCTCCCTAAATCTGTCGAAGAATGTAGAAATAAAAATTACTGGCAAAAATGGAAAGACGCAATTCAAGCTAGCAGAATTAAATTCACTTTCAAAACGTGAAGTTTTCGGACCAATTAGTCCAAACACCCAAAGGTGTAAAACCAGTCGGGTATAAATGGGTATTCGTGCAAAAAAGAAACGAGAAATAATTTAAAAAATATATCACGTGAAGTTGTAGGGACCAACTTGAAGTATTTTAAAAAAGATTTCTTGAAATATGTCGATCCAAAACGACCTATTTTTATTTTTATAAAGTGGGTGTTTTTTGCAGGGTTTTTGAAAATACAAGAAAGCTTTACAAAATAAAAATTTAACAGGGTAATTTATTGCAAATTTAGCATAACAAAGTGGAGTATTTTGCATTTATCCCTCAAAGTTGCTCATGAGTCTTAATTTTATATAATCAAGTCTTCTAAAAATTAATTGGGGTCGGTTTAATTTGTTCTTTAAGTGGAAAAACTGGAGGCAACTTCGCATGACTTTTCATTGGGTTTTTATTAGGGCCCATTTAAGTCCACATTAAAACCTTTCGTAGTTATTTGGTAGTTTTTAAATTATTTTTATGGGGCAAATTCTCGAAGTAATGTACCCAATATTCTTCGATTTTTTATAAATGGTCAAAAATCAAGGTATAGCAAGAGTTGAGTTAAATCATTTTTGTTGGGACGACGATTTTTGGGAGTAGTGTACCTTATATTTTATCGAGTTAGCTTGAGTTTACAGGTGAAAAGATTTAGATTTGGATTTGGATCTGGATCAAGGTCCGACATATATTGGATCACCCGTTTATCTCTTTAAATACAAAAAATTAATTTTACTTTTTCTCGAGTTTTTGGCAATTTACATCCTGGAATTATAGAGTTTTGACACTTTGCACCTTAACTTAAATTTTTTGATACTTTACATCCTAAAAATATAATTTAATTGGCACTTTGCACTTTTAGTGTGTGTGTTGATGAAAACATTCATTGATGGAAGGGTTGATATACTAGGAATTCAAAAATTCAAAGTTAAAAACTTCAAAACTTCGATTTACAATCGAACTCTCGAACTTGAGGGACTATTGATATACCAAATATTCAATCAATGACATGGCAAGTTACACGTCAGAATAAAGTCAAACTAAGACTAAAATCTGCTCTTATTCGACATAGACCAAAATCTGCTCTTATTCGACATAGACCAAAATCTGGACCTGTTCGACATACACCAAAATCGATATACATGTACTTGATCTCCAAATTGCCTTGAAAACATGTCACTCGACATCCAAGCATGGCTATTCGACATGCCCACATACATATCGATATATATGGGCCTTATTTCGACGTAACCACTAAAGATCCGACCCGAAAGATTCGACCCAAAAGATCCGACCGATCCGAAAGATCCGATTTCCCCTCCTATAAATACTCCGCCATTTGTTACATTTAAAAGGAGATTCTGCTCGACTTAACTACTATTTTTCTGCTATATTCTGCTATGCTTTGAATTGATCTGACTTAGGCATCGGAGGGTCAGCGCCGGGTCAACCACCGGCACAACCTGACGAGTTTCTTTGAGCACAGGGTTAGGAACCTTGAAGTGGAGTCCAGTTCGATCTGACCGGCTTAGGATTCCATACTGTGGAGCGGAAAACATCATTACGTGGCACATTAGACGTGGACCAGACACATAGACGAAAATTCCCTTCATCAGTTGGCGCCGTCTTAGCTCAGCTGGTAGAGCACAAGGCTCTTAACCTTGTGGTCGTGGGTTCGGGCCCCACGGTGGGCGCCAGGGTTAGGAACCTTGAAGTGGAGTCCAATTCGATCTGACCGGCTTAGGATTCCATACTGTGGAGCGGAAAACATCATTACGTGGCACATTAGACGTGGACCAGACACATAGACGAAAATTCCCTTCATCAGTTGGCGCCGTCTGTGGGAACCTCTAACCAATGCTCGAACAAGAACGACGATCAGATCAAGGAATGTTGCAGCAACGCTAGAGTATGATCATATTGGAGACAACATTTAAGTTGATCGAATAAGCATATGTGATGAGGAACAACCAAATATAAAGACCTTCAGTACCAGAACGAGGTTTTATCAAGTTACTCGACCAGAATTGAAGAAACTCATCGATGACACTTATGTATAATTGATGAAAATGAAAGCAAAAGGTGATGAATCAACCATAAAGGTCTTGAACTACCACATCGATGAACAAGCAAATTTGATGAGGAAAGGCAAAAAGGTTTTCTTTGACATAAATGTGTTGTTCGACGTATAAAGACTTGTTCGACATCAACCATCATAAAGGATCATAAAGACGTTGTTCGACATCATCGATGATCAAATCAATGAAGAGGAGAGCAAAAATGTCACAATCAGCTTTCAAAGCCTTGTTCGACATCAACAGACATAAATGCCTTGTTCGACCAAAAATTGCCTTGTTCGACATCATTGATGATCAAATTCATCAGCTGTTATAAAGGCGTTGTTCGACATAATTGAAGGAAGTGTTGTTCGACATCAACGATCATAAAGGCGTTGTTCGACATCATCGATAAACAAAATCAACTTAGAGCAGAGCAGAATGTCACAAACAGCTTTGAAGAGGAGAGCAAAAATGTCACAAGCAGCTTGAAAGCCTTGTTCGACATAAGTAGCTTTGAAAAGCATTCGATCGACTCCATCAACGACCAAATCAATGAAAAGTGGAGCAGAATGTCATGTTCTTCGACATATCAAGGAAGAGGAGCAAAATCTCATGTTCTTCGACATAAACAAAATCAACGAAGAGCAGAGCAGAATGTCACAAACAGCTTTAAAGCCTTGTTCGACATAAGTAGCTTTGAAAAGCATTCAATCGACTTCATCGATGATCAAATCAATGAAGAGTGGAGCATAATGTCATGTTATTCGACATATCAAGGAAGAGGAGCAAAATCTCATGCTCTTCGACATAAACAAAATCAATGAAGAGCAGACCAGAATGTCACAAGCAACTTTAAAGCCTTGTTCGACATAAGTAGCTTTGAAAAGCATTCAATCGACTTCATCGATGATCAAATCAATGAAGAGTGGAGCATAATGTCATGTTATTCGACATATCAAGGAAGAGGAGCAACATCTCATGTTCTTCGACATAAACAAAATCAATGAAGAGCAGAGCAGAATGTCACAAGCAGCTTCAAAGCCTTGTTCGACATAAGTAGCTTTGAAAAGCATTCGATCGACTCCATCAACGACCAAATCAATGAAAAGTGGAGCAGAATGTCATGTTCTTCGACATATCAAGGAAGAGGAGCAAAATCTCATGCTCTTCGACATAAACAAAATCAATGAAGAGCAGACCAGAATGTCACAAGCAACTTTAAAGCCTTGTTCGACATAAGTAGCTTTGAAAAGCATTCAATCGACTTCATCGATGATCAAATCAATGAAGAGTGGAGCATAATGTCATGTTATTCGACATATCAAGGAAGAGGAGCAACATCTCATGTTCTTCGACATAAACAAAATCAATGAAGAGCAGAGCAGAATGTCACAAGCAGCTTCAAAGCCTTGTTCGACATAAGTAGCTTTGAAAAGCATTCGATCGACTCCATCAACGACCAAATCAATGAAAAGTGGAGCAGAATGTCATGTTCTTCGACATATGAAGGAAGATGAGCAAAATCTCATGTTCTTCGACATAAACAAAATCAATGAAGAGCAGAGCAGAAACAAGCAGCTTTAAAGCCTTGTTCGACATAAGTAACTTTGAAAAGCATTCAAACGACTTTATCGATGGTCAAATCAATGAAGAGTGGAGCATAATGTCATGTTCTTCGACATATCAAGGAAGAGGAGCAAAATCTCATGTTCTTCGAAATAAAAAAATTCAATAAAGAGCATAGCAAAATGCCACAAGCAGCTTCAAATCCTTGTTCGACATAAGCATCTTTGAAAAGCATTCGATCGACTCCATCAATGACCAAATCAATGAAGATGAGCAAAATGTCATGTTCTTCGACATATCAAGGAAGAGGAGCAAAATCTCATGTTCTTCGAAATAAACAAATTCAATAAAGAGCATAGCAAAATGTCACAAGTAGCTTCAAAGCCTTGTTCGACATAAGCATCTTTGAAAAGCATTCGATCGACTCCATCAATGACCAAATCGATGAAGATGAGCAAAATGTCATGTTCTTCGACATATCAAGGAAGAGGAGCAAAATCTCATGTTCTTCGACATAAACAAATTCAATAAAGAGCATAGCAAAATGTCACAAGCAGCTTCAAAGCCTTGTTCGACATAAGCATCTTTGAAAAGCATTCGATCGACTCCATCAATGACCAAATCAATGAAGATGAGCAAAATGTCATGTTCTTCGACATATCAAGGAAGAGGAGCAAAATCTCATGTTCTTCGACATAAACAAATTCAATAAAGAGCATAGCAAAATGTCACAAGCAGCTTCAAAGCCTTGTTCGACATAAGCATATTTGAAAAGCATTCGATCGACTCCATCAATGACCAAATCAATGAAGATGAGCAAAATGTCATGTTCTTCGACATATCAAGGAAGAGGAGAAAAATCTCATGTTCTTCGACATAAACAAATTCAATGAAGAGTGGAGCAGAATGTCATGTTCTTCGACATATCAAGGAAAATGAGCAAAATCTCATGTTCTTCGACATAAACAAATTCAATGAAGAGTGGAGCAAAATGTCATGTTCTTCGACATATCAATGAAGAGGAGCAAAATGTCACAAGTAGATTTTGAAAGTCTTGTTCGACATCAAAACAACTTTGAATGTCTTGTTCGACATTAACAACCATAAAGGGGTTGTTCGACATCATCGATGATCAAATCAATGAAGATGAGAGCAAAAAGTAACAATCAGCTTTGAAAGCCTTGTTCGACATCGATGACCATAAAAGCGTTGTTCGACATCATCGATGATCAAATTCATCAAATGCTATGGAGGTGTTTTTCGACATCATCAAATGCAAGTTTGATAATCAATAAGCAAAATGTCGGTCATCAGTTGTCTCTAAGCCTTGATCTAGCTACTTAAGAGGAGCTCGACGATAATCTTCAACAAGAAAGCAAAAAGTGATCGACAACTGTAAAAGCTTCGATCAACCACATCGATAAACGGATTGATGAAATGCAGCTACAAGTTATTTATTTGATAGACTTTCTAGAAATACTAATTCGATAGCAAAAATAAGAAAAAAGTAAATCGATCATCACTCAACAATCGAAAAGGAGAATCAATCTTTCATCGACAAACACTAAGATAAACTGATCTACACCCTTCAAAGCTTCAATTCCTTACACTATAAAAGTGATAAGTTGAACAGTTGATAGCTTTCAAAGCATCAATCATTTCGACAGCTTTCAAAGCATTGAATCCTTACACTATAAAAGTGATAAGTCGACAAATCAAAAGCTTCAAAGCCTCAATTCCTTACACTATAAAAGTGATAAGTTGAACAGTTGATAGCTTTCAAAGCATCAATCATTTCGACAGCTTTCAAAGCATTGAATCCTTACACTATAAAAGTGATAAGTCGACAAATCAAAAGCTTCAAAGCTTCAATTCCTTACACTATAAAAGTGATAAGTTGAACAGTTGATAGCTTTCAAAGCATCAATCATTTCGGCAGCTTTCAAAGCATCGAATCCTTACACTATAAAAGTGATAAGTCGACAAATTAAAAGCTTCAAAGCCTCAATTCCTTACACTATAAAAGTGATAAGTTGAATAGTTGATAGCTTTCAAAGCATCAATCATTTCGACAGCTTTCAAAGCATCGAATCCTTACACTATAAAAGTGATAAGTCGACAAATCAAAAGCTTCAAAGCTTCAATTCCTTACACTATAAAAGTGATAAGTTGAACAGTTGATAGCTTTCAAAGCATCAATCATTTCGGCAACTTTCAAAGCATCGAATCCTTATACTATAAAAGTGATTAGTCGACAAATCAAAAGCTTTAAAGCTTCAATTCCTTACACTATAAAAGCGATAAGTTGAAACAACTGGTAGCTTTCAAAGCATCAATCTTTTCGACAGCTTTCAAAGCATCGAATCCTGAACCGTTGATAGCTTTCAAAGCATCAATCCTTTCGACAGCTTTCAAAGCATCGACCAAAAAAAAACTACAAGAGTGTTAATGAAGAATCTGGTCGACATCAAAGCATCGACCAGAAAGATTTAGGTCGAATAGCTTTCAAAGCATCGACCAAAAATACTAGAAAAGTGTTAAGGAAGAATCTGGTCGACATAAAAGCATCGACCAGAAAGATTTAGGTCGAATAGCTTTCAAAAGCATCGACCAAAAACACTACAAGAGTGTTAATAAAGAATCTGGTCGACATCAAAGCATCGACCAGAAAGATTTAGGTCGAATAGCTTTCAAAGCATCGACCAAAAACACTACAAGAGTGTTAATAAAGAATCTGGTCGACATCAAAGCATCGACCAGAAAGATTTAGGTCGAATAGCTTTAAAGGCATCGACCAAAAACACTACAAAAGTATCAATGAAGAATCTGGTCGACATCAAAGCATCGATCAGAAAGATTTAGGTCGAATAGCTTTAAAATCATCAACCAAAAACACTATAAAAGTGTTAATGAAGAATCTGGTCGACATCAAAGCATCGACCAGAAAGATTTAGGTCGCATTGCTTTAAAAGCATCGACCAGAAATATTTAGGTCGAATAGCTTTAAAAGCATCGAACAAAAATACTATAAAAGTGTTAAGTTTATGGTCGACATCAAAGCATCGACCAGA